CCTTCGACAAATTTGTAAAGAAAAACAAGTGTTTGTCTACTCGGCGTATCTTCATCCGTTTCGATCATGCAGGACATGTGTCCTAGTCCGACGTTTTCATGTTTTTCGAAATCATCAACTAAAGTATGATAATGTGTACTGAATAATGTTCGACATTTGATACGATTTGCAAGATCGTTGACAACAGAACAAGCGATAGCTGTTCCATCAAATGTTGCTGTGCCTCGTCCTAATAGAAAACAGACGCATCGATCGGTTCACCGAATGAAGTTCTCTTACCAAGTTCATCGATGAGAACTAGAGAGTGACGAGTCGCATGGCGTAAAATTGATGATGCTTCGCTTAATTCAACGAAGAATGTTGATTCACCAGCCATGATTCGATCGCTTGCACCTAAACGTGTAAAAATTCGATCGCATACACTCATTTTGCATGATGATGCTGGAACATAGCTTCCCTACAAATAAGAATGTGCGATCTCCACTTTCGGTATCAAAATTCATCACATACCACATGTGCCAATATTGCTAATACAGCTGTTTCTCTCATTAAAGTTGATTTGCCACCCATGTTCGGGCCAGTAACTAAAACCAACGGTTTCGTTTGCCAAATTTCATTCGATGACTAACAAAAAAAAAACAAGAGACCTCAAAGTAAATCAATGTATATGCATAGTTAACCTTGTCAGCAAGTATAATATCATTGGGAATGAAAGAATCTGTCGACTTTTGAAGCATACATGGATGTCTACCATTTTGAATATTAATAAATGGTTGTTGATCATTGTCTGTTGGAAGAACACTTGGTCGACACATGTCGGAATATGACTGACTGTAGGCAACGAAACTAAGTAATACATCGAGTGCACTTAAACAGTTAAGCACACGTTGAAATGTATCATGATGGCCATCAAAATGTCGGAACAGACTACTTGTTGTATCTTTTAATGCCAATTCTTTCTTTTTTTCGCTTTCAGTCAATGCATCGATTAATTCACGTAATTCACTGGTGTAGTATCTGAAAAACACGAGGAAAGATCGTGTAATTGTGATGTAGTTGAGTCGAAGAGAATCTTACCGTTTGAAGCCTTTTCGTGAACTCATCAGCTCATAATCATCATCGAGATTTCGACAAGCACTTTCCGGAATTTCCATCGCATAACGTATTTTTTGCACGTGAACAAATTTGATATCGTGATTTTTCAAAAATTTCTTTTGTTTATTCAAATATTCGTTCAATGCCTTCTCATTGTCACGTATTTCATTTAATGAATCATCATACTGTTTACAAACACCGGCTGATGGAATAATTTTACCTTCATTTCGTGCTTGAGCATGTGAAAATGCGTTCGTGTAATAATTCAAGATTTCCTCTAGTTCAGGAAAGTTTTCATCGCCTCGGAAGATAAGTTTTTTCAATAAAACTGACGAATCGGCAATGTCTTGATGCTTGGAAAACAGCTCGGCAATTTCATTGGCAATTTTCAAGCCAGCGAGTGCGGAAAGAAAGTCTTGAATTTTTCGTTTACTGTAAGTTATATCTTCGTAGAGTATTGCACGATTTTCTGGATGATCAGGATCCAATGGACGATGACCCAGTGAATGAATTCGACAAAAAAGGCGTTCGAGATCAGGAATCGTTTTCAATTTTTCTCGAATTTTGCCGCAAAGATCAGTTTTGTCTCGTAGACAATCGATTGCATTCAATCGTTCATTGATCTCATTGACATTACACACTGGTGCCGAGAGCCATCGTGCCAAGAGACGTTTGCCAAAATGAGTTAAACATCGATCGCATGTTTGTAATAACGAACCTTCTTTTCCACCACGACTATTTGACAAAATTTCCAAATTATACAGCGTTGTCGCATCCAATACCATGTTTTGTTGTTTGAATGTCGATGCTTCTTTCAATTCGATATTCTCATCAGGTGGTTGAAAGATCGCAAATTTACGCATAGACAAAAGCTCTTTATCCACAAGACAATGTTGTAAATACCTAAACGATAAATTTCAAGCGAGAGGGTTGCTGGTGAAGGAGTATCTTACCACATAATACCACCTAATGCACGCATGGATATTTGAAAAGTTGAACGGACGTGTAAACCTTGTTTATCACCTTCGTTGAAAACGTGTTCAAATGCATTTGGCCAATGAAGATCTCCGTTTTCATCTTTGAAGTAGGTATCGTCTCGGAGAATGTCCAATGTCTTGGTTGTTTCGTACATTTCTTTGTTCGGTATGAGGTATTCGATTTTTGCATGCGTTAATGTTAATACTTTCTTAGTCTTTTCGGAGATTTTATTTTTCTCGCATAAAATCTTAATACACACAAATGTTTTATTACACACTAAATTAATGTATTCTATAGATATACCTGGGTCGGTGGAAATTGAGCGAGTAAAGTTTGTAGCCGTGATAAGTATCGATCATCTTCGAATTGACCAATCTAAATCGACGACAAATTTTAATCGTACAAAACTTCTGATAAACATACATAAAATTGTGCAATTGTTGTATCGACAAAGCAAACGCCAAATTCACATGGTGTAATTTTATTATCAGGAATTGGCTAAATCAATACGAAACTATTCAGAGCTATTCGAATCAGAATTTCAATTCTCACCACTTCAACAATACTCAGTAAGAATAAACTTTCTCGGAAAACATTGTCATTGTCCAGTGTGTTGAATGTTTTGGTACCAGGCGTGGTTATCTGACAGATTTCTCGACGAACAGTTTTATCAAATTTATTTTTTCGTCCGCCCTCTAAAAACAGAAAAATTCTTTATTCAACGATAGAGTGCTTATAGAGACTTGCGTTGTTCAAGCCGTTCTTTCATCATGTTTGGTGTTTCGGTTTGTTCGACTCGTGCTACTTTATAACCTTTTGTCACGAGAATATCAGCAAATTTACTGTATGCTTTCTCCGGAAAGCCACAATGTGCCATGTCACCTACAATTGAATGTAATGCAATTGTACAGATCGAGGATATTTCTACCTTTCATCATTGTTAAATTCAATTCCGGTGCGCAAGTGATTGCATCCATGTTATCTATAAATCAAATAACATGAGTAATAACATCATACTCATCAGACATGACATACACAGTTCGTAGAATTTGCCAACCTAAAGGTATGAAAATCAGTTTTGAGAAATGTAGTGGAGAATAGTTACTTTGAAAAACAGAATAGTATCAAAATAATCCATTTTCAGTGTCCACCATTGTCGCATAGCCTTCAAAATTTTAAATCAACTATTTAGTACTATTGTGTCGAGTATCACCTACTGGCGTTAGACTATTCAAATATTCATCAGGTACGTATAATGTGCGTGAATCATAATCTAGAGAATAGATTGCAAAGTGAAGAGTTCGAAAGATGAAAAATCAACATACTTGGATCGGTGTGAAGTCGACGGTTTGCATCTCTGTTTTTAAGGAAAAATAAAAAGGTCGAATCATTAGTGAAAGACGTCTCACCGTCGTTTGCCATCTTTAAGAAATTCCAATGAAAGATGGGTAAAATTGCTATCGCTGATATTTTTCGCTGGTTTTTTCTCTTTATTCAACGTTGCTGTTCGTCGCTTGGGTGTTTTAGTCTAGAACACATAAATTTATTTCGAAAGTAATTCGATCACATCGATTCATACTTGGTCGACAGCCTCATCATCATCATATTCCTCCACTTCACTTTCGTTTTCTTCGCTTCCATCATCCGACTCATCTTTATACAGAGCTTCTTCGTCTTCACTTTCTTCCGCCTTCTTCTTTCGTGATGTTGTTGTCGAACTGACACCTTTCTTTTTCGCGGCACTTTTCGTCGATCGTTTATTAATTGGTGTGACGTCAACATCCATTCGATCTATGAACAGTCATCATCGATGAATCCTCAAAAAAGTATTTCTCTACCATTTTCTAATCCTTCTTCTTCGTCACTGTCGAGAATAGCAATACGTTTTCGATTTTGATTCTAAAAGACGTATTAGATACTGTGTTATTCGTTGATTGCGTTGTTTTACTTTGCTAACTTTAAGTTGTGGCTCGTCGTCATCGTCCGACTCGTTTCGTGCATTAAGTGTCTTTCTTTTTTTATTTTTCGGCAGATTGTCATAATCATCCGCTGGCATCGGCGGTGATTTTTTTCGTTTTTCTGTTTTAGGCGAGTCAGCACTATAAATATCGCTCATGTTCATCGATTTCCGTGTTGAGCCCGACGATTCTTTCGGAGTTTGATTCTTTTTCGTCACTCCGTTCTTATCACTTTTCGGCGTTTTATTCGTTGGCGAAATTGTTTCATTATCCGCTGTCGTAGCGGCCATTTTTTTCGGCTCAATACGTTGAAAGTAACTGAATAAATTTGACATGATTATTTCTTGTCTACAAAACAAATAAATACGAAATAGAAACATATTCTTGTCTTTGTTTGCAATCAGTCGCCCAGAAACTATGGCATCGGCACTGTCGGGAAGAAAAAGTTGAAAACTTCTTGTCCTCTTGTTTATTTATATACATAAAATAGAAATAGAGCGCTGAACATCCACTTGATAGATATTTTTCTCTAAGCAAATAACATCAAAAGAGTAATAGTAACCAAGAAGAAAGAAGAGTCGCGGAGTAGAACTCCGCTGGCCAAGGAATGCATATACAGCGCTTAGTGATATATATATATATATGTATAGAGAGAAAGAGAAAACACACACGCACACACAAATGAACAGAACCGTTGGATAGATCGGATTAAAAGGAGCAAAAAATTGACCGGCGCAATAAGGAATAATTCACTGTCAATCAATCTAACATTGATCAAAGACAACCAGAAGAAAAATGTATGTGAGAGAGAGACTTCTAACATCTGTTTTATGGCATTGAAAAGAAGATGAAGAACAAGAAAACGAGAACATAGAAAGAAAACAGAACAAAATAACAAATAACGGCGAAAGACTAAATGTTGGTTATGACAAATCATCGATTGAACAGCAATGTTTAACCTTTCTATTTTTACGCAAATCCAAAGCCTGCACATTCCCGAATTGCGATTAATAACATTTTACGTAATTTATCATAGCTTTCATATGCCGGTAAATCCAATTGATTGAAACTAAAAGTAAATTCGATCATACAAGCAAGTGTCCTGACGGAAAACTTCTGGCTTACCAAGTATGTGCAGAGGGTAGACGATCCGTTGATCGATCATCACGATGTATTTGAAATTTTTGTGCACCATTCATACCTTCCAAATGTGCAAAACCTTGTAGTGGGACTTTCGATGTACCTGTAACAAATTGTAAGAATTTCGCGAGATCTTCTTTATCAAATGAACGTAATGCACGCCAAAACCATTGAACCTAGAGAAAAGTAGACACAGAATAAAAGAATGTTCTGCGTTATTCGTGAAAATCTTACTTGTAAAGAATTCGGTCGGTATTTATGATATTCGGTATTTGCTTTGAGATCTTCAATATCGATGTCTGGGAGACCGGATATTAGTAATTCTAATTCTTGTTCGTTGAATATTGATATTAAACTTTTCGGTATGATGGAATAGAAGCCTTCCAAGAACGAGTTGATTTGCAATCGAATTGAACCAATCATTTTCTCTTGGCAAACAAGACGAACATATTCATGTTTATTTTCGTTCGTCACAGCGATAGTTGAGCCATTTGGAATTAGTTCTACAACTTTGTTCTCGCCAAATTCATTGACATCCAATGAAAATGTTAAGTCTAAGCCTAATTGCTGTAAATCATTTTCCAATAACATCACTAAATTCTTATAGAATTGTAAGTCAACTGATTCCATGTCAGTATAACGAATTGGGATGCCGAGTATGTGTTTGTAGAATGAACGTGTAAAGTAACAATCCATAAATTTGTTATCAAAGATAGCTTTAGCTATGACACGTCCGATGAATTTGAAGTATTGCGAATGATTGGTGTTGATATGTGATGATGGATTGGGCATATATGTAACGCGATCGCCTGGATTAATCATGAAGAGTGCATAGTTGGAATCGAACATTGAACGTGCGATAATTGAATACCATTCACGGAGAAGTCCACCAGCGTCTTGACCTTCTTCACCATCAAAGACAATGTAAAACCGATGTTTCCAGTCGACTGATTGACGCCGGCTTAATTCTCGATAGGAGTCTTCAAAGACATTTTGACGTCGTACATGTACAGCTAAATCTTCACCGCGATTATTATCTTTCAAACGATCGAGTTCATAACGGAAGTATTTTCTTTTCACGTCGAAATCGAGTATGGCTGTGTAATCAGTTAATATATGAAATGGTCCTTCACTTAAATGCTGGGTACTTTGACGTAAGATTTGATTTAACACAGTACGATGTGTGCGCGCAAATTCAACGAATTTTTGAGCATCTAGTGGCAATTCGTTGGTTGAGATTGTTTGCGACATTCCGGTTCGAAGAACAAGTGTAGGTGATGTTATGTCCGTTGCTGACGCTGCTGTATTCGAAGGAGCAATAACAGGCTCATCGGGTGCACCACGATCGGCAGATGTTGTCGTTGGTGCTGGTCCGAAACATTCAAGGTGTGACAAAGCTTCGCGGGTTTCTCGATCTTTTTTCTTCTTATTCTGTTTGTCGCTTTCATTATCTAAATCAGCGGCATGAACGATAAAGAATGCTTCGACAGCCGGTTGAAGAACCAACACAGCATGTGGATCAGGTAATCGTGCTAGTGATGATAGGCAATCACTCAAAGAATTCCATAATTGGTTGATATTCAACAGATCGCTTAATTTCGTTGGAGTTGCCGGTAACAATGCGCCGACATCCATTGGTTCACTGATTTGTGGAAGTAGTGGTGGGATTGTTTGTAGAACATCATTAATGCGTGTTGTCATTGCCGCTGGCAGAGTTGGTTCATGGAAACTCTCAATTAGAACTTCTAATTGCTGAATTAATCGATAAATATTTTGAATATCATTGATAGTTTCTTGTTGGGAAAAGATTTGTTGACGTTGTTCAAGTGTACTCGAATTTAATACCGTTTGCAAGCGTGTACGCATTTGTTCTAAGCGATTAGCTAATTCATCGATAGGTTGAAGAGTTTCATTTTGTTGATTCGCTGCGTCCGATGGAAATTGCGAACGTAACGACTGACGCAAGGTATCAAGGCGACGTGCCAACGCATGAAGTTCAGTTTCAAAATGGGTTTGCGCATCCAATTGTTCTTTCTTTGTTGTATTACGTAATTCGATAATAACTCGAAGGATACGTAATAAAAATTGCTGGTTTGCAGTCTTGGATGTCAACATAACCATAGCTGGTAATTGTAGATCTTGTTGTTTAGCATTGGGATCATTATTTATTGATGTCAGTGTATTCGAACGAATACTTCTGTACGAATCAAACAATTTCAACGATTCATCAGATGCAGCATTGGATGAATCATCGTCATTGGTTGTAGGAAGGAGCGATTTGTTTTTCGAAAGATAATCTTGCACTTCGAGAAGTAATTGTCTAAAAGTTAAAGATTGAATTTTTGTTTTCGAATACATTTTCATTTGCGACAACACTTACTTGATTTCTCTGCTAACTTTTTCTCCTAATTTACGAATGCCATCGAGTAATAAGTGCAAAACTTTGTCTCGTGTTGCTTGATTGATTTTCGAAACATCGAGTAAGAGTTTCGTTGCACACTCGAGACCATCTTCCGCACATGATTTCAAGATTAATGCATTGATAACTAAGTCCAATTGAGAACCCAAAATAACTTGATCGTCCGAAACAACTAGTTTATTCGTTGTATTCGACTGGTTGACTGGCAATGGCAATGTCGGTAGGTTTTGCTGTTGTTGAAAAGGATTCACTGTTTGGCTGGATGGATCAGTTGCCATCGGTGTCGAGGCAGCTAGTGGTGAGGGTGTTGCATCTTTCTTTGTGATAATATGTCGCGAAAAGCTTTGAGAAATCAATGAAAGTAGTTTGAATAGTTTATCCATTAGTTGACTGTTTTTGTTGAGGATCGGATGATTGAGCATGAGTAATAGTGCTGCTAATGGTGACGATTCGAAATCAATTTCATTGTTATTATTGTTGATATTTAATGTCGATGTTGCTCGTTGACTGTTACCTGCGTTTGGATTAGAGATAACAATCGATGCGATATTTTGGGAGGAATTCGATGATGAACGATTGGTACGATTGCTAAATGATTGATCTAATTTGAGAAGTAATTCCCAGAATGATAATTCACGAGTATTTGTTGATGCTTTCGATGGTGTAGCGACTAGTTGTTTATCAGGTGAATTTACTTTATTTGTTGGTTCGTTCGTTGATAATGTTGCTGGTTGTGATTCCGTCGAAGTTGTGTAAGCGTTCGGTAATGGAAGGAATTGTTCGGGAAAATTCTTTGCCAATATAATCAATGAGTCAAGCACTTGTCGGCAAACAATAGGGCATGCTTGAGCATGAACAGAGATTTGCACTGAGCCGTGACGTTTTGTATTGCCCAGACGTAGAATTCTGAAAACATTGGTGCGTGCACCGAATGCACTTTCGAAATTGATTGTTAACCATGATGGGCTAATGATTTTCACTTGCTGTGTTTCATTGTTATTGCTAGTAGTAACAGCAGTGCTAGTAGAGGATTGCGATTGATTGTTTGTAGACGGATTTTTCAGTACTAACGTTGGTGCACCTGGTGTTGATGTTGGTGGTTCGTACTCTGTACTTCCTGTACTTTTGTTGATGATCGATAAGAGAGCTTTGATGATCCATTGGCGTGTTTGATTATGATGGCATAGGTATCGAAGAACTTTTTGTAAACGTGGAAGATTTAGACGTGGATCGTCGATGAATAGCAAGACTAACAAACAGCAGACCGATTCATAATCCAATAGCTGTCGACCACGCGTTCCTAGTGTCGATGGATTACTATTCAAATCGCCAGCATTGGCTCCAGCACGTAGTGAGTACCAATTAGTCGATTGTCGATCAGTACGATTATTTCGTGCTTCTTGCAAAGCACGTAAATTATACATACGAATAGGACGTGTACTATGATGTGTATTATTGGTTAACATGTTCATCATATCGTGATGAGTTCGTACCATACGATCACGTAGATATTGCTGTTGTTGAGTTTCCATTGCTGCGCGTAATGCTCGAGCTTCATTCGCTATATCCTCAGGTAAAGCACCGATTTGACTCTCGTCCATATCGGCAAGGACTTGTTCACGAAGGTGTGGTTGTAAAGTGCGTAAAAACTCGGCTGGACCACTATCAGGTAGATTAACACCACTCATCGCAGCCATGGCTGCCGCAGTGCGACGACGTTCAGCTAATAATTCTTCGCGAATTTCTTGTGGTAGGGCAGAAATAAATTCCGGATTAATTTCACCGAGCATTTCACCAATAACAGCCTCTGTTGTTGCTTGATTGGTTCTCATTGAAAAATTGTCATTAGTTGCATTCTCTGTTGATTGTGTATTTAAACTGGCTGTCGGATTAGCAGCAGCATATGCAGCAGCGCGTTGAGCACGTCGTTGACTTTCTTCGCGTTCAAAATTTCGGACTTGGTCAGTTAGAATTTCTTGACGTAGTTCTTCGGGTAAGGCAGCTAAAAATGATGGATCGATTTCTAACGCTTTCGGAACGCGAAATTCACGGCCATCGATAACTAAGACAGTCCATTCAACTTCAGGTTCAGGTGGTGGTGCTGTTGTAGTTGACGTGGCAGTAGCAGATACACTTGGCTGTTCAACTATTGCATCTGTCGTGGAAGGAACTTCTTCTGTAGTTGTCGACGCTGTCAACGTCGTTTCAGCATTCGTAGTTGATTGTTCTTCATGTTGCTGATCTTGTTCGTTGGATGCATCTTTAGGTGGTGATGGATGATTTATTTCCATAGACGTTGTTGGTGACGTAGCTAACTGAGCAGGAGATTGACCGCCTGTTGACATGTTGTCAGTTGGTAATGGACTAGTAACTGCTCCTGTAGGTGGCAAGGTCGTTGTTGTTGACTCTTCGCTAGCTGGTCGAGCCAGGCTTGAACTGATATCTTGGACTGTATCAGTAAAGGATGATGTTTGCGTTAGACGATATTGCTCAGGAGAAGTCATTACAATATCATTGACATGCTGTATTTCGCAACCTGTTGAGGGCACGGTGATAACTGGTTCCGTTGCTGTAGTTTGCGCTTGATCAGTAGTCGTAGTTGACGTTTCGGTTGTAGCTGTTGTAGATGCTGCGGCAGCTGCAGCAGCGGCAACGGCGGCTTGTGTACGTTCAGCATCTTGTCGAGCTTTCTCTTCGGCACGTTTTTTACGTTCTTCTTCATCTTTAGCTTTTTTCGCTAGCACAACTTGTAATTCGGATTCATATTGCTTCTCTAATGGCTCAGTGATTTTCGATTTCAATGCTAAGACAGTATCATGTACATATGGTCCATCTAATACTACACTCTCTTCCATCCAACGTGCTAATGGTGTACGTATCATGTAGATCTTTGTTCCATCGATGTTTTCATTGCCTTCGTTTGCTTGTGGAGCAATATCCATTAGAATTTGATCATGTAGAAATCGCCATGCATCAGGATCAGCACCATTGCCAACAAGAATACGTGCTGTTGTTGTACCCTGTATATTACCATTGTTCACTGTTGAACCACTTAATGGATCAACGTCCAGCTGATTCACTTGATTGAGGTAGTCAGAGAAGCCACCGGCAGCGACTGCTGTGCGACCGAATGCTGTTGTGCCCCCTGGGATAAACAGTGTTCGTGTTGTACCTGAAAACACACGAAAAACTAATTTAGCTTTTCAATCGACGCGCTATGAAACATACGATTCCGTTGTGTTTGATGAGCGAGTTGTTGATGTGCAGCAACAGCTGCTGGTCCTGTGAGAATTGTTGCTGTGGGTCCATTTTGCTGGCCAAACGTTAATGTTGCAGCTTGAGCGCCGTGTGTCGGCAAAACATTTAAGCTTACTGCTGGATTCGGGGCAGTAGTTGTTGTCGTCGCAGTTGCACCTAATTGACGAAATCGTGAAAAAGCACCTGAACTCAATTGATTGTCAGCATGATGAACAAGTAATGGATGTAACGCTGGAACACTCATTGGTGGTGGAGGAAGAGCAGGATCAGCTAAAAGGAAACATTAGATTATGTTGTATGGCTTGTTGCCATTGGCGAAGAGAAAACTAACTAGTATCATTGATGCCATGTAATGATGGGAAACCAGTTGCACGAATTCGTACACCTTGAAGATTAGAGATTAAAATCGGATCAATATCAGTTGGTGACATAAGATTATTACGAATTTCAGACAGAACTTCTTCGTCGAATTCCATTTCGTGAACGTAATCTGCTATGTCACCATCTTCATCTTCAAATTCGGTACTTTCATCTTCATCATCTTCGTCCTCGTCCTCTTCTTCTTCATCCTGCCAAGCGTTAGCGGCATCCATGTCACTAGAAAAAGCAAAGAAGATATCGATTCGGATCCTCAGCTAGTATCATTGAAAAACGTTATTACTTGGCAATCATTTCTTCGATATCGGCAGCATTGGCATCATCATCACCAGCAAAATCATCTTCATCATCATCTTGTTCTTCGTCATCTTCTTCTTCGTCCTCATCTTCATCTTCATCATCATCATCCTCTTCTTCTTGATTATTGTCATTGTTATTCGCTGTTTCAGCATTGGCATGACCACATGTTTCATTTGTTTGATCATTTCTATCATTATCACCAGCTAAATGTTCGTCGGTTGATTGGCTCGATGCTGTTTCAATATGTATATCAATAGTTGGTCCTTCGGTTTCGTCTAGTTCATCTCCCGTATGTGTTTCATCACTATCACTATTATCACTTTCATCATCAAGCTCATCATCATGTGGTTCGCCGGCTGCTATTGGCCCTGAACAGGAACGATCAATGGAGTTCTTCTCATCATTTTCTTGAAACTTACCAGTCAAACGAACATCTCCTTCCTCTTCACTAGTAATATCTTCATCATCGTCACTGTAACTGTAAGAAAAATCAAACAAATAGCCAAGTATTTGATGTCATGACCGAAAGCTAACTTACCGATGTTGTGGATCACGATCATTACCATTGGCACTGTCCATATCAATATCTTCATCTGGACTATCGGTTTCTTCGGCATCGTCTTCATCATCTTGACCATCACTAGTTGCTGTCGAACTTGAAGTTGTTTCTGAAAGAACCAAAAAGAAAATAAAGTCAATCTCCTTCCTTTTCTCTACACAAATCATACCGTGCTCATGGGTATCATCAAGTGGATGTGCAACATCGAATTCCACGTTAATTGTACCAACAGCTTCATCATCGTCGTCGTCGTCTTCATCCTCAATACTCTCCCCATCGTCGTCATCATCATCATCGTCTCCATCACATTCATCTTCATCGGTCGATGAGGGCGCGGCTCCGCGAATATTTCGCTCGAAGATATCAACATCTTGTGGTAAACCGGCCACTGGCTCCATATCAGTTGCATTCATGAGTTCTTCTTGGCTAATACTCAATAAAACTTGGCTGGCAGAATTCAATGAAGTGTTATTATTGTTTGGATTTGCATTATCCATTGAAGATCGATTTTCATTGTGAGACGAAGTAAGACTTGAATTATGTGCTGTCTGCTGTTCAGGCAATTGTGATGCGTCTGCCGTCGCTCTTATTGCTTGATCTGGATTTGTAGTCGTTGTCTGATTTGGTGTTGAGGTAGATGCAGCATCGGATGCTGTTGTTGATGTTGCTGTTGTTGTTGTTGTTGATGTTGCTGATGGAACAGTTGAAGCATCCGTTTGATTTGTGGACGTCGCTGCTGGATGCCGCGTTGCGTGTGGACGAGCAGAAGCTGGAACATGTAACGATGTTGCAAGATTGATGTTTCGTGATAAAGTTTCCATCGGTTTAAGAACTGCGTTAACCGTATCGGCTAATTTTGGACTTGATAACTCTATACTATGTATCATTTTTGCTAGATCATTGATGAGACCACGTTTGTACATAATTTTAACCATGTTGTTGATGATGGATTGCGATAAACGATGTTGTCCTTGTTGTGGTGCGGATGTATTCGGTGCTGGACATGATTCAATCATCGTATTGATAATATTTGCTAATGCTTGTAATCTCAGATGTTTTTCATCACATTCAGGTAAAACCAAGATCTTATTCAATGACATTTTGACTTCGTTGACTAAATTCATTTGTGATTCTAAGCAATGATTGCAAGCAGCCATTGCAACAAGAAATAGACGACATAGCGCTGGAATGTCTTTATCGTAATCAATCTGTTGATTGTTTGTGCCAGGTAACAAATGATCAAGAATGAATGAGAGTGCTGAACATGATTGATTATCGGACAGTGTAAATGTTTTGGTCGAAACAAGTTTGGCCACGTTAGCATAAGAGCGGATCAATTCAGCAAGTATACGTAAAACAGTTGATTTCGATAATAAACGTTTCGGAGTAGCATCGTCATTTGTTAATAAGAAATCAAGTAGATCTACTAGTAGACGTTCAGCTAGTCCTCCGGCTGAGTCGTGCGATGCTGTTGTTGAATTAGGTCGAGCGACACGATGTTGAGAACTATGCTCTGTTGTCGATGTAGTATTGCCAATGGTAGTGTTAGATGCAGTAGCAGTGGTTGCTGTAGTTTGGCTGGTGGCTGGTCGTGCTTGTAATATCAATGGTCCCTTGTGTAGATTTCCATGGGAGTAATGATCATCTTCCGTGCTGAATGGATTCGTATATCGACTGATTGAGCCTGGCAGACGGCCAGCTGATGGTGGTAACAATTGTAAAACATTGGATGCAACATCTAGAAAAATATCTGGTGAACGAGTCATTGCAGGACCGAGTATGCGCAAAATAACATTTAGTTCATGAGAACCAGGACAGCCAGGTTGAACGCCAATGGATCCACCATGGTTGCCAGTTAGTGCTTGTCGGATAGCTTTTTCCATTGCTAAACGCAAATTACTATCGTCTTCCATGACGTGACGAAAAATCAGTGTAATTAACGATGCACAGCCTTGAAAAGCAGATGTTTGAGTTAAACTTAATATTGCTTGGATGCCACCTGACTGAGCAAATTGTCGAGCGTATTTATAATCACGTGTTAAACGTAATATTAGACGTAATAATGCATGAATAGCATCGGGATCTACTGGCATGCGAATTAGGTACACACAATCACTGGTTAATATCAATGCATGTTCATCAGCTAATGATTCGATGATCGATACATTTGTATCCATTTGTTGTTCGGTATCCATAGATTCGACTTTTTTGCTTTTAGTCGATGTGATTGCAACTCCTTGTCCAGGTTGTTCATGATGATGATCATCATCGTCGTGATCATCATCATCGTCATCGTCGTCACTTGTATCCGAAGCTGACAGGACAGATGATAACTTTGGCGGTACCAGGGGAGCTTGTGTTGATCCATCTGCATTTGTTTTCGTCGATGGTTTTACAAAGGTTAACATAATCGGTCGCTTATTATGTGTTTCTTCATTCGTTTGTAACATTGTACTAAATTGTATGAGATAATTTCGACGTTGAATAAGAATTTTACACGATGGTTCACCATTAGCGTAAGCATCATCGATTTGTTTGTTCTGCGCGATCGGATAATTAGTCCATCGGACAGTTCGTTCGTCGAACCATTGCCATACGCGTGTACAATCTCGATAGTTTTCATTGATAATAGCGCGACGTTTCGATGCCAACGAGACTTTTTCATATAAATCGACAAATATAAATGCGGATGCCAACCATGCTGGTGTCTTCTTTTCATTTAATTTCGTTAGATAGTCTGTTGTACGATGAATTAATATGCAAAAATAATTGACTAATGAAAATCTTTCGACAACTCGTGCACATGGAAACGGCATTTCTTCAAATAATAACGACATTAATAATATTCGACTGAATAGAACAGAATTTTGATGTTCATTGAGAAATACGGCTGTTGGCTGCTGGTTTTCGTCCGATGAATTCTTATCCAACAATTCAATCAGCGATAAGTAACTTGTTTTAATGTCATTGGCAATGATTTCTAAGAAATGATCACGCCATGCAATACCATTTCGGTGCATAGTTGTTACAACAAGCTCACACATTTTATATACAGTGTCGGGTAGTATATCGAGAATTTTTAATCTGATTGAATCAGTAAATCGATCAACAGATTCTTTCGACAATGGTTCAATTTGGCCAGCGGCTTTTTGTTGATTCGTATTCTCCGCTGTTGCTGGTGCCGACGGTGCTGATTCTGTTGTTGACGTTGCGTTTGTTTCACTGCTGGCAATGTTATTATTATCTCTAGATAGAGCAGCTAATGCTGCGACTGGATTGGCCAAAGCTGCTCCATCTACCTCTTGACCTAGTGATAAAAGTAAAGCACATGCCATATCAGCATCCATATCAGGAACATTACTTTGTGGTTGCGGTGCCACGATTGTTGGAGGATGACTAACGCAATAATCCACAGCTAGTTCGAGATTATTATTGGTTTGCATGAGGCCTTCGATGGCGTGTTCACGTGAAAAGCCCATAGATGTAATCGACTGAATATAGTCCTCATTCAATGGTGTCGCATTGTTTCCCTGTAAGCCCGATGAACCAGCAAGATCTGCGTCTATCGATGATGGCTGCTGTTGATTGACATCGTTGGATGAACTTGTGGATGCCAAAACTGCATTTGGTTGTTGTGGTTGTGGTTGTTGCTGTTGTTGTTGTTGTTGTTGTAATTGTTCTTCGTCTTGGAGCTTCTTTTGAATTTGCGATTCACCGCGTAAAATATGACAAAATATTGAGAGTATGCTGTCGATAATTTTTGTGGCATGATCTTTCAGTAGATACGGCTTGTCCCATAGAACTGAATATGAATTTGTTAGGATATGAAATGCGGATTTATGTGTTGCTGCTAAGTAATGTAACGGATTGAACGGTGTATAATGTGTTCCTTCTAATTGCGATTTTTTCGCAATCGAGTACGGAGATTCCAGAATCGATTTCACATTGACCAAACGTAAGATAAGCATTAGTGCTGAATTAAGAAATTCTGTCGGTGATGCATCGTAGCTGTTGTTTAACTGAGAGAGCTGTTGATCATCAGTTGACTGAGATTGACGGTTGATTAAATTCAGCGTCCATTCGAGTGCCGAAAATAAAGCTTCTTGAGCTTTGGACGATTCAAACTGTTGTAACATTAACATGTATGGACGACGACGTTCATCGAATAGCATTGGAGTGGCGAAACCTATTGTACATACGAAGAATGTTAAACGAAATTTTTCGATTTGACTTTCAGATAAATTGTTATTTGCTGGCAAATGGAACGAAAATCCGTCGCGTAAAACTTCGGTTAACGTCGATGTGACATATTTCGCTGATGCGGTTGGTGTGTAAGCAGTTGGTTGTTGATTAAAACGTCTTGCATGTCGCATTTGTGACGTTGAACATTGTCGAACAAGTAAATTGTAAAGTTCGCCTAATGCTCGACCAAGTTTCGATGAAACACATAGTAGTGGTTTGATAGTTTTGATTCGTTGTTGAATGTTAGACGACAACTTTAGTTTCAATTTGGTGAAATCACTTGTATCCATCGAAATGATTTCATCAACATCGAATGTTCGAGCAGTTTCATTAGTTGTCAAGTCGTTCAACTGATTTGAGACGTTATGCAACGGTGAAATCGTATTTGTTAAATCATTAATCAATGGAAATAATTTCAATAAATCATTTTTGTTGAATTGTTGATCAATAAGATTCGTTTCTGAAGAACATAACGATAATAATATCGAACTTTCCCATATTAATGTCAAACATAGTTTATTTAAGTTTCTCAACACCCGTAAGCCAGTTTCCGTGCCCCAAAAACTAATTAAAATTCCACGAACATCCGTTTGACTTATTTTACATAAAGATATTAATAACGAGATATGAGAATGAACTACGGATAGTCGATGAAGCGTAGGAGTTAATGACGATTGATTAATTGCATCGATTGGATCAATCGGCGTTGATGATGAAACCGCACGAGCTAATTCTTCGATCAGTAGCGAACCGTCATACGTACGAGCGGAATAAAATTCTGTTAGTGAATTTAGTATATTGTCAAGGTTTGTTATAACCATTTCGATTAGTTTATTATCTTTGACAAGAAGTGTCAATGTTGATTTACACAATGCTGCAACACATTGACACGCTTGGCTTGATGGAAAATCGATTGGTAAATTTCTCATTTGTAGAATGTCTAATAACGGTTTTAAACCGCCTAGTTTAACGAATTCTTTTCCATGATCATCGGTTGTATTGTTACTGATAACACCTTCGACAAAACGCATTACATTCGTAATATAATCTAATAATGGAACGGCGATAGGTACTGATTCATCTTCAGATTTATTTTCACTTAATAGTGTTTGATTAAGAACAATAGGAACGTTTGCTATTGTTTCCGGTGAGGTTGACACTCCAGATGTAGTCGTCGTTGCTGCTGCTGCAGCCGCTGTTGGAGTTGTAGCCGTTGCTGTGATTATGCTTCCGCGTGGTGTTGTGGCTGTTGTTGTTGGTTGTGGTGGTGCTGATCGATTAGCTAGAGGTGCTTCGTCATTCGTTGCTTCGTCATCATCGTATTCATCATCGGACGAATTTCGATCATTTCCTGCCGTGTTCGCATTTGTTGTATTCGTTGTTCGCACTGTTCGATGTTGTGTGCGTATTGTGTCAGTTAGCTTACTTGTTGTTGATGAGGAGGACGACGAATGTGGTTTTTGACAACAGTATTTTGGATTATTTCCGATTTCAACCAATTGTTCCAGTAAAGTTATAATGGATTTCATTGCTTCTGTACGTAAACTAACTTGATGTCTCATTAATTCATCGACTGCATTGCCAAGATTTGATGCCGTACCATAGACTGTGTCTGTGCCACGTCGTCGTCTCATGGCCGGTAGATATTCCGGTGAGAGAAGAACACGGAATAACTTATCGAATGGCTTATATTCCATGAAATTCTCTAGGCCACGTGTATTCAAACATAAAGAGCTGAAGATAGTCGGTAAAGATGATAGCACATCGCGAGCAGCTGGTACATCTTTTTTTAACAAGGCGTGCATTAAAACATCAGTTAGACCATTGTCTTGCAGAGATGATAGTTGCGAAGGTTCTTGAAAGATGAATAAGGTGACAACATCAGTTGCCAAATGAAATAACGATGGTCCGTAATATTCTGCATTGCTGATGATATGCTTAAGAGAATTCGGTAACGAACCATCCATGATATGACGTGTTGTGTCCGCCATTGTTGGTTCAGTGATGGCTTTTTTCAAATAATTTAAGATCGATTTAAGCAGTGCAGCACGTTGATGATAACATGTTAAACCTGGTATTGGACTTTGAGGAATCGATTCTTGATGTTCTTCGAAAAATTCACTTGTATCCATATCTTTACCTAAGTGTATAGTTGAATTCGCCGTTGTATTCGCTGTTGTTACCGACGGATGTTCGCCTGATATATCCGATTGAGCACCTGGAGATAAGGGTGGATGACTATCAAGATGTGCAGTCGGTGTACCCTGATTACGTTTAGGTATGCGAATGGTAAACGGTTGTTCTTTACGACATTGAGTTATTTCATGCTGAAAATACAATGCAAGTTTTTCAAATCGAATATGAACGGAAAGAAAAACAAAAGATCTGTTTGTTTAACAAGTTGGTAATGCTATTTATATATGAAGATGAGATATAAATTGCGACCGTTCTTGTTAGGTTTTACTCTTGCTCTCACATTGACACTTCTACTCACAGATAATCATAGAAATGCTTCGATAGGAGCTTGTACATAAGACCTCATGCTTGACGCTGACTAGAACCAATCAACTAAATAAACTTACTTCTAAACGATTAATAAATGCTTGTAAACCATTGTTAGTTTGAAATGATGTCATATCTAATGATGTAATTAAATCAATCACTCGAACAGCACGTGTGACAAACTGAAATGAAAAGTTTCAGCAATTGATTTCAACGATCAACCAAATCTTTTTCGTTACCATAATAAAATCTTGAGATTCATCGTAGTAGTTCACGACTTTAACCAACGACTGCATGATACCACAGTTTACTAATGCGTCGCCACCTGTTTCATACGATGCCAGATGATAGAGAAATGAAAATAATGCTGTTGACAACGACTGTGGAAATCTTTCATTACTATCGTCTAATAACAAAGAATAACGTTCAGCTGAAAAGCCCCAAACGAGGAAAAGTAGCGAGATTTACCAGTTAATTTGTCGATACATTGTCGAACGAGAACTGGGAGAAATCCATGATAAGAATTTGCTTGTGTTGCTTCGATGATTTCTTGTAAACGTGGTGGATGTCTACACAGGACAATGCATAAAATCGAAAGATTGACCGTAATACGACTTACTTTGTCGTCCGCTCGAGATGAATTATTGATGTTAATGTCTTCAAAGCTGATGCTTTTATATCCTTCAAAAGACGAATCATTCATTCGAGTACACGTGGAATTTTCAACATACTGTCAATGTCGGATCGCGAACGTTCAATACTTCAACTAATTCCTCAATAAGTCCATCATAGAGAACATTACTTGCTTCTTGTATGGCTGCGGAATACACTGCAAGAAAAAAGTCCAATGTGTCAAAACATTCTTCATCGTATTTTTCTCGTCTTACCAAGTATGGATAAGGCTTGTAAGCGTGCTTGTATACACAGTAAGCGCTGTTCGAATGATGGAAATGAATACGCTAAACGAAGATGAGTAAATAGTTTGATTTGCTTGTCTTCTGGTAAAGTATGTTCAGCAAGTGCGAGTTCCATCACAGCAGCAGCATTAGGTCCAGCCAGATGAACATTTGGAATATCAATCTGTCTAGGAATTTGCTAGAAGAAGAAAAAAGATTTTGTTCATCAATGAATAATGAATTTCTCGTTATGCTGACCATTGTTGGACCGTTCGTCGATGACGCTTCCGATGAGACTGTATATGCAAAATGTAGATTTGTGGCGTGTTCAGGAAAATCCTATGCATTTCACAGAAAACTAAATAGAAGAGTAAGAGAGACAGTACTTACTGCAGGATTGCGAAAGCTACAGCAGCGAGCTAAATCGAAACCATTCTCTCGCCCACCCCAAGTCTGAAAAGTAAATGAAAACGAAAAATGATTCTCTTTCGAATCAAAAACCATCTTTCTTACTTCAGCTAGGAATATAAGCCGACCAATCAATGCTTGTTTTTTATCATGTTGAAGTCTTGTGATAAAATTCGAACGTTTACTGAATACATAGAGAAGTGAAAGAACACCAAGTACAATATGTACATCAGATGATTGTAATAACATGATTAAATATTCAATAGAGTTATATAAATGACGCGAATACGAATGTTCAATTAGCAATGCAGTAAAATGGAGAATGTCAAGTACTAAGATCTTTAACTAGAATTGACCAAAACGAAATTATGATCGAGTCGATACTCGGAAATTTTTAGCGTTACTTCCGCATTTTCTGGTTTATCACAATTAAGCATCCATGTTCCAGTCTTTATACAAGCTTCTTCTAGAATTGAATCGAACAGATCCAATGCGTCGATCCAATGATAAAGTTCACACTAAATAGAAAGATTCGGTGTCAGACTCGGTGAGAAATATATCGCAATTCAACAAATAATTGCAAAAGAACAATGAAATTTCAAGACTAACTTTCTTAAACTAGAACAAAGTGAAATTTCAGTTTTCGAACGAATGTTCTCTTCGATCATTCATATGTGTGAACTCACTTTTCCGATATGCCATATGGTTATGGGTTTTAATAGTTCATGAAGTTCTTTTCGATCACAACTTTTTAATTTATCAATGAATAATTTACAATCAGCCGGCTGAGAAAATTTAAAAAAAACAAACAAGTAAATAAACAAAATAAACAAAAAAAATTTAAAAAAAAATCCCTTACCGGTTCCGGCAGATATTTTTTCAATTTCGATCGATCAATTTTCATATTTGTTAACAAAGATAAATAACAAAAAACATCTGAAACGAAACATACATATATACATATATATACGAACGTGAATTATTAAGAAAATGGCCTCCGTTATTTCACGTGGATATACGGATACGTCTATCGACTATGGAAAGAAGAGAACGATATGACTATGAATCAGATAAGACTTTTACCTTCATCTTTCGAGAAAAAAACTACCCAGTGATCATGTTATATGTAGGAATTTTCATTATAAGTAAACAAAGAAGAAAAAAATTATTTATTTTTTTGTTTTTCTTTTGCAAATGATGTTTTATTTTAAAAAAGTCATCTTTTACCTTTTCAAGCTCCATCTATCATCGAATACTTATAGAGTTCAGTAATGATTGGATATGGTTGTTAATGTGACATGACATACATCGGGTGAAAAGAAAAAGCCCTCTTGTCATAAAATCAAACCATGACATCCATAATAGAAAAGATTCGACCATAACATAATCAATTGAAAAAGTAATCAAATATTTAGTCCAATCTTTTTGATACTTTGCTTCTTAAGATTGAAATGATCACTGAGTTAGATTCAGAGAACACATGTATGATCGAGTTGAAGAAATTGCGAATCACTATATCAATCAGAAAAGTGTAATCAGCAGCTGAAATTGGTATACAAAATACAAACGCAAATAGGGATTAAACTTTTTCAATGTGAACATCATTGGGTTCAACCGAAAACGTTCACATTAACATTAAGTAAAAGGTCATGTAGGAAAGGATCAAAGCTCACATAGTACGACCGGCAAGCGTTCAACGAGATAGACTGACCATATTAGAGGAACATTCACTAGCAGGAATTTTACTGTAGTTCGTAAGTTCTGTTGCATTGGAATAAGGAGAAACAAGAAAATTATATCGTATCTTTAATGAGGGAAAAGGCTTTCTGTACGTTCCGATAAACCTAACAAAAATAATCGTTTGACCTTAGAAGAATCGTACCGTGTGTCATCTCTTGTAAAATACTCCGTTACAATCTATAACTTGGAACTGACGGCACTCAATCTTTTTTCACCTAAAACTCATTCGACATTATCTCTCTCTCTCTCTCTCCTTGGATATTATTGTTAATTGCATATGACCTCATGTCATATAATAATTTTCCTCCGTTATTAGCAACACGTAAAGATTTCAATACTGGTAATGATCGAACTATTCGAATAAAGAATTCGTCATGTTTGAATGTATTAGCTTCTCGAATAGAATTGCACACACAGTTTTGTTACGAATATCTTCATTTGATTCCATGTATATTATATGATTCGTAGTCAGAGAAGCACTAATGTAGACAGTCAATGGCTAAAGTTTATACATTTTACTAGCAATATCATGGTTAATAGAAGTATAACTCATAATTCTATTTTTACTTTTTAGCCGAAGATATAAGAGTAATTCAGCAATTTCATATCTTGTCTATTAAATTTCTCACAAATGTTAAATATCAAAGCACGCCTTTAGAACAGCATTATTCATGTCAGTTGACTATGCGATTCGCAAGACCAATTATACCGTTGTTACCAGTTAGCAAAAACTTGTTTTTGACGATATTGATGAAAGAGAAGAAGACTTATTGAAGATACATTAGAATTTGGTTTTCAACAAAATGTGTGCATTCAGTTTGTCATTGATATATTCATACACACATATTTTCTTGAGGTAAAACTGTTAGATCATTCCTTTGCGCTCTTACGCACTACTTCTCATTATTTCATTATGCAGCAGTTGTTCTATATAATATGTACTACACTGAGACGTGTTCATTTATAGCTAGTATATTTCCGTCGTTGCCCTTGCGTATTTCATTATTCTTTGAAATAAAATTAATCTAACAAAAAACCAGCAGTGTGAATATTTTCAACGCTGCGCTTGTTTAGTAAAGTTTAAAATTCAAGACCAATTATTGTCACGATTACTTTTTCCTATGTCTATGTAAAAATGTGCCGTTTAAAATTTGTCCAGACGAACTTAATAATCTATGGGGAAGATATCGTTGCAGAATGTATATTGCATCTAGGAGTCATGTGTATTCATCCTTATTTCCTGTTGCTTGTATATAATCCATAATATCGAAAAGTTCGACACTATTTTAAGTACTTATATAGATGTCGTAGCGAGGAGGTATATTGGTTAAGAAATTCACGAAAGGAATAATAGTACATTTTTACCCTTTAACAATACACCATTATGTACAGATCGATTTTATTGCCTTTTTTCTCTATGCAAAATATTGATCAGTTCAGATCTTTTCTATTCATCCCAAACGTGAATGAGAACGAAGAAAAATCCAAATCATCAACTGATGTTCTTGAAAAAACGTAATATAAGAAAGTATGAAACAGATACGATGAATAAGGAATCGCATGCCTAAAAATCAATAGATTTACACGATGCAAGTAAATTCACCCGAACCAATTAGAGGACTTGTTCGATCGAAATACAATTGAATGAGAATGATTGCTACCTTGAATATCCCTGCATGGACATTAGTAAAATTTTCTTCTTTCTGATTCACTAATTAAGATCGGACCATTCGCCGAATGATCCCGATGATGTAAGTGATTAAATACAGCTCCCATGGATGATATATGTATCACTTTGAGATCTCGTACTTTATCGTGCACACTTGTCAGACAAAAATCTGTTAATAATGACCAAACAGATCATTTCACCGATTGGCTCATCTGTTACGTTATTTGATATTTTCATCTTTTAAGAAAGCCCCTGTATACATTTTTCTCTCTCCTTTTTCTATATACATATTCATATATACTTAGACAAATAGAAATATTCTGCTTGTTTGAGTTGGAATGTACGGTTTCCTTTCTTTCTTTCTTTCTTTCTTTCTTTCTTTCCTTCTTTCTTTTTTTTTCTTCTTATTCTCTTTCGTTTATTTTCTTTCCTCTTGTCATCGAACACAATTGGCTATAATATATATAGTTCAATACATGTGTATCTCCACTTAGCGTTCACTTTATTGTCTGTATTTGTTTAGAGGTTTTTTTTCTTATGAACAAGAAAATTTGCCAATGAGGATATAATTTTCCATGTCAACGGAATACCTCGTCAATGAACAACAAGATTGTTCGACAACAAATGAAATTACATCGGCAAATGGCCACTATAGTTCCTTAACGTCAACGTCGAATTCTCAACAAACGACATCTTTACTGAGTCAAGCGAATGAAACGTAAAACCCGTCGTTGATTTTTTTCGATTCTATATCATAATGAATACATTTATTTTGTCTTTTTAGTCACACACAAGAACTTTTGGATGAAGCATTGGATAGTGTGAAGAATGTTTTGATGCAAACATTCAAAAAGAACCTCGAATCCGGCGGTGATCTGACGTATGTCAGACGGACTTTGTTTTCGATAATCTTCATTTTGGGTATTTTAGTGCTTTGAAAAACACATTAGGTTCGGATGAAGTTGCTGAAGTGTTTCTTGCAAAATTAAAACAATCACTTAAACGCGATCATGAAAACGAGTCGAAGACTCAAGAGTAAACATTTGTTTTTCTATGGAAATTTTCCGAACGTTTTTCTTTTTTTAGTACTCATATGGAGGTCGATAATGGTGTATCTCAAAGTTCGACACTATCTTCACCTTCGAACGCTACGGTGTCACCCATAACGAATACAACGGCTTCTCCATCATCACCACAAACGACGCCAACGAACAATAAACGAAAGTCTTCCGCCACATTGACAAATCCAAATCGTTTCGATGGGGCAACCGAGGAGGAACTATCTCAACGTATTCTTCAGGATATTCTCCAGCCAAATCTTGATATTGTCTTTGTAAATTACCTTGAATAAGTCTACTTAATTTAGAACTTTTTCAAACATTTAGATTGGAGTCAATCCAAGTCTTTATGCTGTGCACAAAGGACATCATTATGGTGGACCTGGAAACCATTTTTGGAAATTATTACATATGTCTGGTTTAATACCAGATGTGTTGAATGCAAATGACGATTATCGTATGCTACAGTATGGAATTGGTTTTACAAATATCGTACAAAGACCATCGAAAGCAGGATCGGATATAACAAAGTATGAAAGAGTGTTTGACTTGTTATTTTAGTGAATGTTTTTTTTGAGGAATGAGATTACGGCTGGTGCGGAGGTTTTAATGCAAAAAATTAAAACGTATCGACCAAAAATTGTTGCATTTAATGGACGGGGTAAGAATTGTATGACGAAAATGTTTGATAGAGAAGTTCTCCGGTAATTCTAGGTATCTATGAGGTTTATGCGGGAAATAAACATTTTCATTATGGAAAACAGCCTGAATTATTTCTTGGAACAGATACTGTAAATATTTGATTACAGAAACAAATGTAAAACATACAGTGAATTCGTTGGCGTTTTTCTTTCTCTAGCATGTTTTCGTTATGCCATCTTCGAGCGCTCGTTGCTCCCAATTACCTCGTGCTGAGGACAAACTACCGTTCTATGTTGGTTTAAGAAAACTACGAGATTTTGTAAATGGATCATTACATTCACTAAACGAAGCTGAGATCACTTTTCCCGATATCAAAATTAAAGACATAGACGATGTTTCGCAGAAAACAGTTATACGAATAAGTAACACGCCATTCTCGGAATTGTCAGAAGAAAGATTGAAACCATATGGTGGCAAGATTCCTTCGGGTCAGATGATATCGAAACATCCTCATCCACCTGTATCTGCATCACCACCAAGTCTGATTTTTAATACTGAGGCATTGACAACACAAACAATGTCTATTTTACACAATACAAATCGACAAACAAATGAAAATATACTCACGTATGATCAACCAATACAACGTGTTTCTTTTCAAACAAACGAAAATCTCATACAATCAAACAGTCAGACATCTACGTTGACAAATGGATCAATATCAACGAAAAATTCTTTCTGTGAGAATCCATTTTCGAGTACTAATGCAGCTGTACTTGACGCATTAGCGAATGGATGTTACAATTCTTCATTATCATCGAGTCAATCTCAACAAACCTATTATTTACCAGCACCACAAACTGTTCGTGTCAACGGGCAACAAGTATCTCATACGACATTTTCGTCTTTGAATAACAACTCCGCAGGTATGTGATCGATCAGTGTTTGGCGGTAGATTTATCAGCACACATTTCATAGTATCCTAAAAGAATGTTCGAAAATTGTTCTGTTTGCTTTAGTCATAAATTCTCGATTACCGACTTCAGCAACACCCTATTCATCTTATGTAATTCACCATCAACCACAACCGTCAACAGTTAATCATTCAAATCCTTCATCATTACCTTCGGCGTCTCCGGTTATTTCGCGTCCATTGTTAGTTGTAAAATCATCTGAACCATTGCCATCATTTGACACGATTCGTCATCCATCCCCATTAACAATTCGTGCACAATCAATACCATCTTCGAAAGATTCTTCGTCCAGTCAACAATCAATAGCAAAGCCGACACTTATCGTCGTACCCTCAGCTGCAAAACCAGTACCATTACCCCTCACGAATTCTTCAACAATCGTTCTCCCAAAACTATCGAAGCCTGCCGAGAAACCTTCGATAAATTCAATAGATGATCTTCCATTCGTTCGTTATGAACGTGACTCTGATTCCGCGAATGCCGACCAATTTCGTTTTTCTTATATCATTGACGAACATTCACCAGCATTACACAAACGTTTACGATACGTATCAATCAATGATCTATAGCACAATCACAGAAGCATGAAAATTCACTTCTATGATCTCTACACGAATGATTTTCTGAATGGTGCATTATTCTTCCACGTCAACAATATAATCGTTCTTTTCTTGCCTATTCTTTTTAGTTGGTCAAACACTTTTCGTCATTTTTTGTTCACTCTGCTTGATGATCTCACGAAAACATCGTCGAATGAATTCTAGACATATGTACAGTTTTCTATTTTTTTTGCCCTCGCTCTTTACAGATGTAAATATGAAAGAACTCTTCTGGTTTTCGTTTTTGTGGTATACATATGAACCTACCCTTTTTTGTATACTCTTTAAATTTATGTTAAAAAAAATAAAGGTCACAGGTCAGAGCTTGAACTTTGACAATGAAAAATAAATGAATATTTTTCATCTAATAGATACGATGAACCACCAAGATCAGTCACGCTCAAATGAAATCAATTCATGTCGTCCTATTCCACCGCGACCAGCAATAATTACAAGAATCATTCCTTCATCAATACTACGTCCAATAGTACCACACGAAAGTCAAATACGAGTTTGTTCAGTGAAAGTGACAATGGCAAATGAAAGTGTCGGCCAAAGAACGCAATATCTAGAAACAATGCCTCACATACCACAGCAACAGCAAAGATCTTTTATTAATTCATCAACAGTGCATCAAATACGCTTTGCTAATCATCAGCCTGTTTCAACCACTGAACCGCACGGAAATAGTGTGAATCTTCGAAATAGTGCACTGCATCTAGTTAACAACGTCGTCGGTGATGATGATATCTGTGCAATAGATCAAGTTTTGTCCATCCATGATCAGCAATCACCATCGTTATCTCCAACTGTAAGTATATCAACGTTTTTACCGGTTGTTTCTATTTCGTTTATTCATTGTCAGATTAATACTGATAAAGCAAATGTACAAACAAATAATGAGAAAACTCCTTTCTCTGCATTTCTTATTGATAACTGTGATGAAGAAGAACCTCCTAAACGTTTACCTCCACTTCAGTTTCCTCTATCAGATTGTTCAATAGCCAACAAAGCAGTGCAATCGTCTGATGATAGTAACGAGAATGAGCAATGTGGTTCATTAATGAATGAGTTTGATACTGCTGACGCTGAACAAGAACAAATACTCCACCGACGAAAAGAATTTTACCAACGATTAAGAAAACAAATCAAACTTGTTAAAAAGTCAAAAGGTACAGCGTGCGAATCACAAAGTGACCAAAATCGAATCAAATCAACTGTAAGTAACAACACTACTGCTCAGCACGAATCATCTTCCGAATGGGCTGTTGAATATAAGAATTCAGATATCAAGAGACTTCCACAATCGACTGTTACATTAAAGAAGACAGCAACAATCGGCACGATGACGGATGATTATGAAACAAACGAAATTAATACAATTATAGAGCAACTCAAGAATCAACAATTAGAATTAAACCAATTACGAAAATCTCTCATAAGAATGTTGAATGCAAAACAAAGTGACAACGTAAATAGTAACCACGATCATCTTTTGAAATTACTCGATCAACCAATGCTTTCGGGGTGTTGGTTATGCTCAGGCAAATCGTATACTGAGGTTGCTGCACAATGCAATAGTACTGAATCGTAATAGTGATGAATATCCCCAGATGCTTTTTTTACTCAATGTTTTCTCTTCTTGTATCTTGTCTATTAATATACATAGTTTATGTTGAAGAACTGTATTGAACAAACATTCATTTGTATCATATTCATAGAATACAGTAACTGAAAATTGTAGATATTTTGGTTCAAGAAGATCTTGAAGATAGAAGCCGAGTGCGTTGGTTTTATTTGCACATGCATCTATGTTACAAATAATAGATTATTTTCAGCCTGAATTAACTTGTAGATAAGCAGCAAGGACTTCTCCGATTTTTGCGTGACCTTTCAAATTAGGATGGACCGGATTTGTTGGATGCTTGAAATCATCTATATAAGGATCCAAAGAATACATTTCATGATCGCGAAAGGCCGAAACGACAGCGGCCACATAGTAGATATTCGCTTCAGCAGCTGCGTCTTCAACAAGCTTATTCAATGTTTGAATTATTTTGTGAGACTCATACTCATAAGGAACTCTGTTTCCAACGCTAATGAAATCGACATACGGCAGAGCATAGATTTTAGTTTCAGCACGAACTGCAGCTTTGATTTGTTTATAAGTAGAGGCAAGTGTTGGTTTAAACCTAGTACATTGCTCTTCGAATGCTGTGAGATTAACTCGAGCGATATTCGCCAATTTTGCAAGGCCATCTAGATCATTACCACTGATGGTTAGAACTACGTGAGTCGCTAATGGTAACACAGTGCCACTGTTGATTAATTGTGAAAATATATCGTGTGTTGTAGCTCCGCCGACCGCAAAATTACGGACTTGCCAATTTAATAAACCTGCTGCTATATGTGGATAAGATTTTGAACCACCGCCAGCTGTGAACGAATCTCCAAGAGCCACTAAATATCTTCCGCCTATATAAAGGTAGGATTTTTATAAGAAATTCACGTATCGATAGAAATGAGAAAATGTGTGAGTTTCAACAACACAAACCTTGTTGATTTGTAAGAATAAACAGTTTAAACGCGAAAAGAAGGACAAAGATTGCCCGCATTGTGATATCACTGATTTTATAATAATATTAAACGAGAAATATTCTTTTATATCCTACTTTGCCTGAAGTTACCATGCACTATCTTCCCTGTGCGAACGAAACACAGCTGTGAATGTGAACACGTATGTATTGATAGGTTAGTGTTGTAGGCGAATGCTTGTGCACTTTTACAATCGAAAATAGATTGATTAGGGTCAAAGATTTACAGACGGTATGCGTACTCATCTGGCCAGATTCACATGATTATCAAAATTAGCAAATATACCTTCACTTTTACCTATATTGCATTCTAGTACATCAGCTTCGTGACAGTCGTGATATTTGGTAAATAACAGCGCCATCTATCGTACTGAAAGCCTTTTGTAACTTTGCTGTGATCTTCATCAGTATTGTATAATTATAAAATATACATAATTATTCGAAAAAAAAAGATCTACAAACATAAGTATGACGATATCCAAGTTCATTTGTACTGAGCTATGAGCTGTTTGATGTTGTCGAGGCGTACGACATTCATCCAATTGGCAGATTAAAATTGGTTGCTGTTGCGAATTGCAATATAGTTCTGACTTAACTTTTTTGTGTTTGACCGATCATCTGTCTTATGTTCTACATCCATAAAGCAAGTTCTACTCATAAATTTTGTTCAATTTAAACTTACTCGAAGAGAATCATGTCTAAAACAGAGCCTAAAAACACCTCTGTTCAACATGACACAGTCACTTCCTCTTTACCATCATCTGTTAGTTGTACATTTCTTGGTTCTTTGTCATCTCGTCGTGGTCGAGATATTCTCTCTCAATTATGCTTACAAATTGCTCAACGATCAAATCTTCGACATCATTTCGTTGAGCGAAAAGACATGGATAAAATCAATCGACAATTTTTTAATAAATCTATGAAAAAAATGGTCAATCGTTCTCGATTAGTTAACCTACAGCAACAACAGTCGCCATATGATCAATCACAACCCTTCGAAATGAAAGTTTTTTACGTACGAGATCAACTTGAACGAATATCCAATGAACAGGTACATCAACACTTTACTTTCGTTGATTATAAAACAATTCCTCGACGTTTCTCTCTTATTTCAATTAGAAAGTTGACGACGATCTGTCATGCGATTTAATTACTATTTCTGGTCAACAATTGATCGATTTTCTCCTAGGTACGTGCTCTGGTTTATTTCGTACAACAGCTCGATCAACTGTTGGTCCAGAAATTCTTGGTAACGTCCTTAAACGACGTCGTGTAGGCACTCATTCATATCTTGCGCCGAAAGTCACATCTATTCAATACTATCCTCCAGTGAATTATTACAAAGTTTGGCGTATAATGCATCGTCGACGTTTGGGCAAAACTCATCAGCGTACAAAGTACCAACAACCACGTCCAGGTATTATGACAACGAATCATCAAAGTCCTATTGTTTGTTTACGAATGTATCGTGGTATACTCTATTCGTGTTCTCTTAATGGTCAAGTAAGATTTTATCAAATACAAACTTTGACCGAACATCCTCGCCATCAGCCGATATTTACACCAAATGGTGGTACACAAACGTTACAAGTAGCACATTGTAAACGATTTGGGGGAACAATATTGTGCGTTGCTGGCTTTGATCAAACAGTTAGATTATATCGAGATCATCCGTCACATGAGCCGAAAGGAGAAATTATGCTTGCAGCACCCGTACATTGTACAGCTGTCAAGTTTCATATATTGATGGTTGGGTTAGGTTCAGGTGAAGTGGCGTTTATTTCCTTGAAAAAGGTTCGGTGACTAAGACGTTTTCTCTCGACAAAATATGTCTGTAAATATGTTCAATAGATGTGTGTCATTCATACAATCAAGTGCTCACCATACGTCGTTTCAGCTGTAGCAGCAACACGCGACCCCGATGGACGGCATTTATTGATAGCATCATCGTTTGATGGATCGATTGTAGTTATTTCCTTACTCAATGAACAACGACGATTGACATTATCAGGTATCCTAACGAAAGCACTTCGGACGAAAGAAAGTTCATTGAATTAAGGTCATACAAAATCTCCTCGACAATTGATCGTTGATTCTACGCATCACTTACTCTACAGTTGTTCAGCAGATAAGAAAATTGTTGTGCACAACTTTCTGAATGGTACAATTATCTATGAATACAACGAATTTGAAAAAGCGGTAACAAATATCGCTATGAATCAACAGCAACACCTGTTAATTGCTTCATCACTTGATGGCTTAATTAAAATATTCAATACTCAAACACACGAACTAATTCAGCAATTCACAACTTCAACGAGTCAATCGATCATTTCGATGATCTATAAAAATAATCTTGTACGAAGTCGAAAACATTGTCGATCATTATCTATTTGATTTTTTTCTCTTTAGGTTTATTGTGGAATGGAAAGCGGAACAATCGAGGTTCTTCAATGTGATATCAATCAGGTGTATCGATGTGAAGTAAATTTTCGTTCGTCATTCCCATACCCTCAATTCAATGGTTTTTCCTTTTCGCGTAGTATGCTTCTTGTCGACAACCTTTCTCCCGTCGTGAAGATGTTTTCATTCACGCTCGACTTTTCCATGTTCAACATTCATCTACCGTATGTATAAATCGTTCGATACGCGAAGTTGTTTTTCGAGATTTCTATTTGAAGATTCAACGATGCCTATGGAAACATTGTATGAAATGGGTGCCTTTGAAAAAATTTGGTGATCATCTAAGAACGCATACCGAAAATCTGGTGTTGGAAATCAAACAAGAATCGCCAGCACCGATTTCAATACCGACTACATACGGATTCACATCCGATTCTTCTATAACTAATTTTAGTACGAAGACCCTGGTCATGTAAATTGTTTATCAATGTTTTCTTTTTGTATGTACATTTCATTGTGTGTTATGCTTTGTATTTGAGAGGAAAAAGAACGATTGATGAGAAAGGAGTTTATGTAATATATTATCCAATATTGTGTATTGAAAATAGTTCTCAAAGGTTATGTTATTCTAAAAATAAAGTCGTTCTTGGTACGATGAAAATGCTCTTTTAGGTTGAAAAAGATCTATAAAGCACTAGTTCGTATTAAAACATTCACCTCTGACTGTTTCTGTCAACAGAATTCACCTCACCTGGAGTTAAATCCGTAAATAAAGTATCGAATAAACACACTCAAACGAACCGATTGAATCATTATTTGCTTTACACGATTTTTTGCAAATGTCGTTGATTACTATTACGTTCTGTTAGCAACAACCGGGAAAATGTTTGGTTTTAATTTTACATAAACATTGCCGTTTACTCATCGTACTCGCCGGCGTCATAATTTCGAATCAACAAGCCGATATTCATATATATAAATCCAAGTGAGAGAGATAGCATTCATTCTGTCATTCATGGCTTCGTGTTCTTCGATGTACCAAACAATATCCCATCCAAACAGTAATCATAACATGCAGGAGCTTACAAATCCAACGCAAACAGCATCAATATCGAAGGCATTTGATTGTTCAATTCACAACTGTTCATGTAAGCGATCAAAAATCGGTTTAATTTTGTATCCGAATGATCCACAGATGAAAAATATTATTCTACTCATTTGCAAACAGTGTTACAATTGTAAATCAGATAGTAGGACACAGCATGCTCAATTGGAAGAATGGTATTTTTATATCTACAAAGATTCGACAACGTTTCAGTTTAAATCACGGTTTTCTCAAAATGAGGACGGCTCATTTGCTTTTCACCACGCTTTGTCGAACACAGACAGTTCATTTGGTATTGAAGAACGAAACTTAGAAGAACAGGAAAAAGAAATAGTGCAAGACATTGTCATGAAACGATCAAAACGAACAAAAACCTGATTTTCTCAATGGTTTTTGCACATCTTGTTTGCTTCTGTGATCTGAATAAAATATCTTGTACGATACTGTAACCGGTGCTGTGAGTATAGATATTACAGACATACAAATTCATCTCTCTGTATTGTCGATTGCAGAATCAAAACTATTTAGACAACCTTCTCACTTCAATAAGGTAGAAAACAAAGAAAAAGCGTCAGCTGATCGAGAGTGTTGGTAACGTTAGGGAATAATGAGCTTTGATCTATGTTCGTTTTTGAGACAAGTGACTTTTAAATAGAGTGTGCATTTTTGCCTCTTAGCTACATTAACTAATACACATGTTACATAGAGCGCGTTTAATGAGTACGCAGTCATTCGATCAGATAAAGAATCAACCATCACAGAACAGATCTGAGTTATATATGTTTATTATATTATACCCCATGATAATTGCCATGATAATTTTTTTGCAAGACTGTGCTATATATGATTTTACTAAGATCACGTAAATTTAGTTAATTCGATAAAAATGTCGTTCATGGATTGTTTATTCATTTACTGGAGGTAGATTATCCAATACATAGGTTACAAATGCTTTTTCTTCATCCGACGGATTTTCACTGACATCTTTTATGGAGGGTACATCTAGTATTTCAAGGTATGTTCTTGGGCGTTCTTCAAGATTTCGCTTCAATCTAGAAATAAACCAATGAAATAAATGAATCATGTGAAAGGTTAAAAAAAGATTTTCACGTACAAATGTAAAATTAATTGTTTCATATCATCGGAAATTTTCGGACTGGCTGGAATAGTTGGACTCCATGAACGAATGGTGGCCATCGTTTGAAACGAGCTCATTTGTGCGAATGGATTCTTTCCAACAACAATTTCGAATAAGCTTAAACCCAATGCCCACATGTCGGCACGGATACCATATGTTTGACTCGAGTCACCACCAATCAATTCCGGCTATTGTGAAATAACAGAATAGTTTCATTAAACATATCTCGATTTTTCACATACTGGTAGATAGGCTTCAGTGCCTTGGACAGCTCCAACGCCTATGGATTGTGAAATGCGCATTTGACGACTAATGCCGAAATCACATAGTTTAAAAATGGAGTGTTTATTAACAAGCATATTTTGAGGTTTTACGTCACGATGTAAAATCCGACATGTTTTAAGGAAATGCAGCGCCGATGTTATCTATTAGATAAGAATATTCGCATCAATTCATTACACGAGAGTATATATTACATTATGAGTTAACCGACATAGAACATGATCGAGATCTTTATAGGTAATATTACTAAGTGCATGCATTGTTTGATAAAATCGTTCCATCGAAGCGTCCATCAGTTCCACACAAATTAATAGTTCGCCTGCTTCCTTCGAATATTCAATTTGAATTTCAACTCGATGATGAAACATCACGAATCGTTTACCTTATCAATCACAGCTCCATAATAGGAAATAATATACGGATAGTTTTTTGAGCCAACATTCTGAATAGTTGTTAAATCTGTATAAGTGGATGTTTGACGATCAAGTTGAGTTTCTAGTGCAATTCTCTATAAATTAATAGATAATTCATATGGGTATCAGGTCGTGATCACTTGGATTCAAAATACTTTGACTGCCATTTGGACATCGGAATAGCCTTCAATTCGTACAGCGAGTACATATCCAAAACAACCACGGCCTAATGTACGAAGTGTGTCGAATTGTTGAGTATTAACTTCAAGGATTCTTTCATGATAATTCAAGGTAGTCGACGATGAAGGTACTTCCAGACTAAATACCAAAAGCAAAAACCAACTATTTATCGAAAAATAATCTTTGAAAGCCCGTGATACTCACGCATAAGTACTCGCTTCGTTTTTCTCTTCGGTTAAATCAGGACATATGATTGTAAAATTGCCTAAAATGTTTCATTAAACAATTTTCTGTGAAAATGGTATGATGTATGTGTTTGACATGTCAATCTACTCACCAAGTCTTTTACTCGATGATTTTCGCGACGAGGTTGTTGATTTTGTTGCCATCAAACAATGGCAAGAAATAAATATGCACTATATGTGCGTATACAGAAGTGTATTTTCTCTAAAAAGAATATGTAAGGAATGAAAATATGTTTTTGAAAGAAAAAAAGAGATTGTTTTTGGAGATATTTTCATATAAACGAGTCCAATTTTCAATAGTTTATTTGCCCTCGTGTATATACACAGATAAAAAATATGTGCAACGCTTGGCAACATCATGCTGTGTGTTTTACCTTACTTTGCTTTTGTGTATACCTGAATGAGAGAATGAAAGGAAAAAAGGTGAAGACGACAAACTTGTTTGACACGAGAGAAAACCATTATGTTTCGACGGTTTTGTTCTTTTGTTTTCTTTTCAATAAGAAATAGAAATTTCTCCCCATAATAATGAACACTTTCTTGTTTGACTTACTTACTATGACAATTAGTTATCGGTTTGAATCTATTTGCAATACCATCGTTAAAAACAGTGCATAAATAAATTTCAGAAGAATCTAAACCATCGAACTCTATCTGCGACTATCCGACCTATATAATCCTATATGCGTTCATTCGAAACATCAGTCTCGTATGTAATTATATATGTATATGTTACAGGCAAATTTAGAGTTCAGGGAAACTTGGAATTTGCCTGTAGCATATATATTCCATCCAATTCCTATCGAAAAACGAACAGATGCCTAGAAGAAGAATTGTCTAGCAGCATATATTTAACGCAGCTGATGATGTTCTATCAGGATTTGTTTACAAACGCGGATGATTCACAATGACGCATGTTAGTACAATGAGTCATTCATGATCAAGTAAACGAAGAATTTGCGTCTTACATTATATGGCTGAGAGCATATCAGACAGTGATGTATACGCTGACGTTATTGCTTGACTATTATTTAATATAGAGAAAGTTTTTTGTGACGTCAAAACGATAAAAAAAACCTGACGATTCTATGAATAAGTCGATGTGACAATATTTTCATAGCGATCGAAGGCCCTGACAATACTTCGAACATGTTCTACGCTCGATTAGTTTCGGTTTACATAATATTGATTACAAGTGCCGTTATTCGACGAGCATATTCTCAAAACGAAATCTGGACAACTCGTAAAACTCGAAAAAATCTCGCCGTGTCTGTATGAGTGGACTCACAGAAAGTGTTCGATCTAGCTTTTTCATACCTATTCGGCGTGGTTAGATAAACGAGTAGATATCACACAACTACTACTAAAAATAGAAATGAAGTTAACGAGTAAACTCGCAAGCAGAATGCATGGATAATACTGGCAGGTGAAAGACCCATGAAAATATCTCGAACAGTCAGTATTAACTTTGCAAGGACAACAAAAACTGTTTGGACATCGATATGTATCAGTTATATGAAAAAGAAAAGAGAAAGATAGAATACCGCATCTATTTATTCGTTTATTTTTAAAATCTAACCGATAGTGAAATATACAACACAATAAAAATCGAAATATAATTGGATTCAGTCTCGCAATCATCTCCTCTAACAATTCACAAATGTATCTAAGTTAAAATATAAGAAGATGTGATCTTTTTTGTGCTCGAGAAGAGTATGTCATGAATTTCTCTTTTTAATACTACTCTTTGTATGGCAAAAGATTTGTTAGTAGAAAAATTAGTTTGTCTATGCCAGCGACGATGTGATCATACGGTATTTGCCTGTTAATGACTAAATATTACTCAGTTGTAAACGTGTTATAAAAATAACCACAAAGATAAGCAGACACATCTATTAGTCATGACTCATGTACTAACATGAGGTTTAATTTGAGTCAGAATAAAAATATTCGACCACGCATTGCCGTATAAAGTGCATCTGACGCCATACATGCAGAGAAATGGTTGCCAAGGCTGTGTATAATTAAATAGAAATTCATATTTACATAATAATCAAATTTGTTTAAAATAGATGATTTTGATTTTATGCTGAGCATCTAGGCTGTATGGAATGTGCAATAATCAATTAGTCATCGAGCGATGATTCACATGGGATAGTTCATCTTCAAATTCACTTACATCATGGAACCGTTCGACCCTATTTACACTCGTCACCAATTGTATGCATTTGATGTAGTAGTCAGTGCATAGTGATATTCGGAGGTACTCGAAGTAAATCTGAGCAGAATTTTCGAGTTCTTCTTATCAGTAGAGATTATGTAAACCGTGCAAATTGTCGGTTATTCGTTTGACATTAACTATGTAAAAATTTTCACGACGAACATGATTTTTACTTGAAACCAAGGCGCGAAGCCGCTCAAAAATTTCAATATCAATGTGTGCTAGATAATGGTACTATGCAAAAGCAGATCATCTGCGCTCGGCAACTCGTCATCGGGTAGCAAGAATAAATTTGTTTCACAAAAATAATCTTTATAAAACTAAATACGATCTATGATTGTCACCTGAAACATTATTTCTCTTATTATTTGCTTCATACGAGACATAGTTGTTGAGAATGTCCCATCTCCAGTCGAATTTACATGAAGCGTTCAGAATGAAGCTTTGTATGATCATGCACCGATTTCCAATAATAAAGCACACGTAAAAATCACTTCCTGAGTTCTTTTTTCCTCAGCATTTCCTTCAATATTATGAAAAAAGCGAATATTGTTTCATTGAAGTAACAGAATCAGTTTCACACGCTGCTAGTCCTTTGAAAACTTTTAAGCGTCACGCTAGGTGCTCTGCGATTCGCTCACCAGTAGCGACACGAAGGAAACAGAGTGCTTTGTTAACAAAACAAAGTATATAAAAAGTGCTACATGTTAACCACCAAAATTCTATAATTATATAAGCAATTCTGTTGCTCCCGATAAACACTCTGTGCTCTACGATCTACTACTCTATCAAAATTTGCTTCAGTTAATGATAAATCTCGTAAAAGTTTATCTAACCTAAAGTTCACTTCAATTAACACGTAAAAAAAAAGATACGAAACAATATCATATGTGGTTTTG